CTCCCGTTAAAGAAAACATAATATCAGTCGTATGGCAAATGTTTAAAACATATAAATAACAATCGTTAGCCAAAATACCTCTCGAGCCCATATATGCCCAACAACATGATCTCTATAGTATATCAGTAAGGAGGTGTCAGAGGATCCTCTTGAAAAATGGTTTACAAGTGAAGGAATACCATCATGTGCAACAACATGAGCTTTCTCCCAGTTTACGTGATTTATGAGTGCTAGTTAAAGACATATCACTCAATAGAATTCGAGCTCAAATTTTAAATGAAACGATCACTCATGAGTTTCATGCATATATGTATTTGATTGTTTCCTTTAAATATAACAGTTTTTTTTTAAATCTTCAAATAAAAATGTTATTTAAATAAGTTTTTATAAAATATTATTTATAAAATTAAACAGTTAAAAATAAAAATAAATTAAACACACCTGGTGGGACTCGAACCCACAATCGTTTGATTAGAAGTCAAACGCCTTATCCATTAGGCCACAGGTGCTGGTTGTTTTTCTTGCCAAGCAAAATGTTAAAGTTATTAATTTGTTTCAGTACAACTGCGTCGATTTCCTTCTTGGCATAAACCCTAACACAAGTAACAGAGTATTACATTTTCAAAATTGCAAGAAGACATGAGAGCATTGAAAAACAAACTCCAATTATTTGATTCCTACTTTCTTCCACGCTCTCACCGTGTTTTTCGTCTTTCTACCTCTAACAATTCATCTAAAGTTTCACACCCTGATAAAACAACACAACAAAGTTTGTGTAAGTCTTTTGTGAAGTATAGCTTTGTACTTTTGGTTGGTTAAGCTCTGATATGTAGCACCGAGTAGTTAGGATTGTATAACATTCTTTTGAGATACATTTGTATATGTATCTGATGACATATGTTTATGTAAACATGAATGATGTGGTAAATCAAACTGAATGATATGTATTTATATGATTAGCATGTTTAAAGTGATTCAATGTTTAGATTTTCCGCTTTTAATTCTAAATATTGAAATGTGGGTGTAGGGATTAAGTTCCTCTGTTGAAACTACCCCACTGTTGCATGTCTTTTATCGAGCAGGTGTTGTATGTTAATTTCGTGATGATGTGACATACCTCTTTTATACCATGTTTTATTTATACTCTGATGAAAATTTAATACGTGTTAAATGATTTATTTGTTTATTTGGGGGGTATAGAAAGGGGGTGTTACAATCAGGATTAGCTCTTTTGGAGCGTGAAAAATTAGTCTTGAAGTATTTTGGTCATCTCAGTTGATTAGAGGGTCTTGCTCTGATATGTAACATCAGGTCGGGACAATTAAGTCGAACCATCGTGTTCTCTTTGTAGTTGACCTCACAATGCTATGAATTTCTTGCTTTAAGGCTTTTGAGTTATAATTTATGTTGAAAAGTGATTCACCACTACGTAGTATTTGATTTAACTTACGTTGACAAAACCCGGGTTACAGAGTAAGACGTTAATGTGATTTTATGACAAAATGTGGCACCCTTGCGGTGATATACCTTGATATAATTGTTTATATTTATCATGAATGTTCTTTGGGGTATAAGGGTGTTACAGTATTGGTCGATATGAAATCAGGATGCAAACCAAGTGATTAGGAGAGTCCAACAAATTAATTTGGGGGGGGGGGGATAACATAGCCAATATGGTTGAACAAATCTTAGCTCATAATGTCCTTAATGTGAGCCTTCATAGACGAAACTTTGTTTCTATCTTGTTTGAGTATGTGTTATAGTCTGAACTCTCAAGGGGTTGAATCATACTGCCAGAATGGACGTAGGTTGCACTTTTGTCCACAAAAATGGACGTGTCAACCAAGAATTGGAGGAAACACCTCAAAGCACACTCCCGGTGGTAGGTAACCTATAGATCATCGTCGTAGGCATTTTTTGCCAACTCCAAGTTGCTTTGATATAACTTGTCCATGTAAGAAAATTTGGCATGTGCACCTCCAATGCTTTCACATTACATCAGGGCATCCATTAGGTCAGTTCTCAAATAAATGACCATCATCTCCTGGGCTATATCATGTTTGATCCTGTAATTGATCAAGTAACTTCCCCCTAATGAGAAGGTGTAGAAGGCAAGTGATCATCTAGTGTAATTGTCATCTCGCCAATGGGAAAGTGGAAAGATGTTGTTTCCTTATGCCATCTCTCAACAAAGGCTCAAACATACTTCAAAAATCCGCGCTCCCGTTAAAGAAAACATAATATCAGTCGTATGGCAAATGTTTAAAACATATAAATAACAATCGTTAGCCAAAATACCTCTCGAGCCCATATATGCCCAACAACATGATCTCTATAGTATATCAGTAAGGAGGTGTCAGAGGATCCTCTTGAAAAATGGTTTACAAGTGAAGGAACACCATCATGTGCAACAACATGAGCGCGATTTATGAGTGCTAGTTAAAGACATATCACTCAAAAGAATTCGAGCTCAAATTTTAAATGAAATAATCACTCATGAGTTTCATGCATATATGTTATATTTTTTTTAAATCTTCAAATAAAAATGTTATTTAAATAATTTTTTTATAAAATATTATTTATAAAATTAAACAGTTAAAAATAAAAATAAATTAAACACACCTGGTGGGACTCAAACCCACAATCGTTTGATTAGAAGTCAAACGCCTTATCCATTAGGCCACAGGTGCTGGTTGTTTTTCTTGCCAAGCAAAATGTTAAAGTTATTAATTTGTTTCAGTACAACTGCGTCGATTTCCTTCTTGGCATAAACCCTAACACACGTAACAGAGTATTACATTTTCAAAATTGCAAGAAGACATGAGAGCATTGAGAATCAAACTCCAATTATTTGATTCCTACTTTCTTCCACGCTCTCACCGTGTTTTTCGTCTTTCTACCTCTAACAATTCATCTAAAGTTTCACACCCTGATAAAACAACACAACAAAGTTTGTGTAAGTCTTTTGTGAAGTATAGCTTCATACTTTTGGTTGGTTAAGCTCTGATATGTAGCACCGAGTAGTTAGGATTGTATAACATTCTTTTGAGATACATTTGTATATGTATCTGATGACAAATGTTTATGTAAACATGAATGATGTGGTAAATCAAACTGAATGATATGTATTTATATGATTAGCATGTTTAAAGTGATTCAATGTTTAGATTTTCCGCTTTTAATTCTAAATATTGAAATGTGGGTGTAGGGATTAAGTTCCTCTGTTGAAACTACCCCACTGTGTCATGTCTTTTATCGAGCAGGTGTTGTATGTTAATTTCGTGATGATGTGACATACCTCTTTTATACCATGTTTTATTTATACTCTGATGAAAATTTAATACGTGTTAAATGATTTATTTGTTTATTTGGGGGGTATAGAAATGGGGTGTTACAATCAGGATTAGCTCTTTTGGAGCGTGAAAAATTAGTCTTGAAGTATTTTGGTCATCTCAGTTGATTAGAGGGTCTTGCTCTGATATGTAACATCGGGTCGGGACAATTAAGTCGAACCATCGTGTTCTCTTTGTACTTGACCTCAGAATGCTATGAATTTCTTGCTTTAAGGCTTTTGAGTTATAATTTATGTTGAAAAGTGATTTACCACTACGTAGTATTTGATTTAACTTACGTTGACAAAACCCGTGTTACAGAGTAAGACGTTAATGTGATTTTATGACAAAATGTGGCACCCTTGCGGTGATATACCTTGATATAATTGTTTATATTTATCATGAATGTTCTTTGGGGTATAAGGGTGTTACAGTATTGGTCGATATGAAATCAGGATGCAAACCAAGTGATTAGGAGAGTCCAACAAATTAATTTGGGGGGAGGGGGATAACATAGCCAATATGGTTGAACAAATCTTAGCTCATAATGTCCTTAATGTGAGCCTTCATAGACCAAACTTTGTTTCTATCTTGTTTGAGTATGTGTTATAGACTGAACTCTCAAGGGGTTGAATCATACTGCCAGAATGGACGTAGGTTGCACTTTTGTCCACAAAAATGGACGTGTCAACCAAGAATTGGAGGAAACACCTCAAAGCACACTCCCGGTGGTAGGTAACCTATAGATCATCGTCGTAGGCATTTTTTGCCAACTCTAAGTTGCTTTGATATAACTTGTCCATGTAAGAAAATTTGGCATGTGCACCTCCAATGCTTTCACATTACATCAGGGCATCCATTAGGTCAGTTCTCAAATAAATGACCATCATCTCCTGGGCTATATCATGTTTGATCCTGAAATGATCAAGTAACTTCCCCCTAATGAGAAGGTGTAGAAGGCAAGTGATCATATAGTGTAATTGTCATCTCGCGCAATGGGAAAGTGGAAAGATGTTGTTTCCTTATGCCATCTCTCAACAAAGGCTCAAACATACTTCAAAAATCCGCGCTCCCGTTAAAGAAAACATAATATCAGTCGTATGGCAAATGTTTAAAACATATAAATAACAATCGTTAGCCAAAATACCTCTCGAGCCCATATATGCCCAACAACATGATCTCTATAGTATATCAGTAAGGAGGTGTCAGAGGATCCTCTTGAAAAATGGTTTACAAGTGAAGGAATACCATCATGTGCAACAACATGAGCGCGATTTATGAGTGCTAGTTAAAGACATATCACTCAAAAGAATTCGAGCTCAAATTTTAAATGAAATAATCACTCATGAGTTTCATGCAGATATGTTATATTTTTTTTAAATCTTCAAATAAAAATGTTATTTAAATAATTTTTTATAAAATATTATTTATAAAATTAAATAGTTAAAAATAAAAATAAATTAAACACACCTGGTGGGACTCGAACCCACAATTGTTTGATTAGAAGTCAAACGCCTTATCCATTAGGCCACAGGTGCTGATTGTTTTTCTTGCCAAGCAAAATGTTAAAGTTATTAATTTGTATCAGTACAACTGCGTCGATTTCCTTTTTCGCATAAACCCTACCACACGTAACAGAGTATTACATTTTCAAAATTGCAAGAAGACATGAGAGCATTGAAAAACAAACTCCAATTCTTTGATTCCTACTTTCTTCCATGCTCTCACCGTGTTTTTCGTCTTTCTACCTCTAACAATTCATCTAAAGTTTCACACCCTGATAAAATAACACAACAATTTTCCAACTCAGACATTGACGCCTCACGTTCACTTTTCAACGAGATTACTGAGATTTTAGGGTCTGACACTGTGTTCCCATACAATTCCCCATCTGGGTTTTTGTTTCCATTTGAAATTCGTGACACTAAGGTTGGTTTTAAGGAGAAACATGATTGCGCTGAACGTGTTTGTGAAAATGCTGAAGAGAGTGTGGTAGTTGGTAAAGATGAAAACTTTCCTGTTTTGGAAGATACCCGGGTGAGTAAAATGGGAGAGGAAGATATATGCAGGATGGTGGGTGAGGTTACGGAAATAATTCGAGGAGAAAATGGTTATCTTTCTTTGGAAGAGAGGTTAGAGAGTATGGGTTATTGTGAATTGAATGTTGAGGTTTTTGACAGAGTGTTGAAAAGGTGTTTTAAAATGCCACGTTTGGGTTTGAGGGTTTTCAATTGGTTGAAGGTTAAGGATGGGTTTAGTCATACAACGCGGACTTATAATACCATGTTGTGCCTTGCTGGAGAAGCTAAGGAGTTTGGGTTGGTGAAGAAGTTGGTAGAGGAAATGGGTGAATGTGGAGTTCAGAAGGATGTCAATACGTGGACCATTCTTGTATCTCAATATGGGAAGGCTAAGAAAATAAGTGAAGCCTTGTTGGCTTTTGAAAATATGCAAAAGTGTGGCTGTGAACCTGATGCTGTTTCGTATAAAACGGTAATTCATATGCTTTGCAGTTCGGGTAAAGGTGATATTGCTATGGAGTTTTATAATGATATGGTCCGGAAGGACATTGTACTTGATGATGTAAGACTGTATAAGATGCTCATGAACTGTATGGCAAAATCAGGAGATGTTGCAGCTGTTAGTTTGCTTGGAAATGACATGATCCGGTTGTGTCTGATGCCAGAGAGCGGTGTTCTTGGATGTATGCTTAAGAGCTTTTGTATTTCTGGGAGGATGAAAGAGGCTTTGGAATTGATTCGCGACCTCAAATATAAAGATGTAGTTCTTGAACCTGAATATTTTGAGACTTTGGTAAGAGGGCTGTGTAAAGAAGGCAGGATTTCAGATGCTCTAGAGATCGTTGAAATTATGAAGAGAAGGGAAATTGTTGATGGGAACGTTCACGGAATTATAATAAACGGGTATTTACGAAGAAATGATGTTCGCATGGCACTTGATGTGTTTCAAAATATGAATGAATCTGGTTATATGCCTACGGTTTCCACATATACAGAACTGATACAGCATCTCTTTAGGTTGAGTAGGTATGAAGAAGCTTGCACGCTGTATGATGAGATGCTGGGAAAAGGAATTAAACCAGATATTGTGGCTATAACAGCCATGGTTGCCGGCCATGTTTCACAAAATCGTATATCCGATGCTTGGAAAATTTTCAAGAGTATGGAGTGTCAAGGCATCAAGCCTACATGGAAATCATATTCGGTATTTATTAAGGAACTTTGTAAGGCTTCAAGGACCGATAACATTATCAAGGTATTGTATGAAATGCAGGCTTCGAAGATTGTAATCAAAGATGAAGTATTTCATTGGGTTATAACTTACTTGGAGAACAAAGGGGAGCTTGCTTTAAAAGAGAAAGTCCAACAGATGCATTCAGCATCTAAACTTGTTCCTGAAAATTTTGAGTCCGAAAAACAAGTGTTGTTTAGAAATGAGGTGGAAGAAGATCCAGGAGTTGACCAATCAAAGTCCGAGAAGGTAGATTACTCATTACGACAGCCAATACTTAAGACTTACAGTGAGCAAGCTGTTCGCGATATCTGTAGGATACTCTTATCCTCTCTACATTGGTCTTCAATCCAAGAACAATTGGAGAAAAGCAACATTGAGTTCACCCCAGAATTTGTTATGGAGACATTGCAAATATGCAGAATGCATGGTCACACCGTGCTAAACTTTTTTTCATGGGTGGGAAAGCAACCCGGTTACAGACACACCGTAGAATCATACAACATTGCAATCAAAATCGCCGGGTGTGGGAAAGATTTCAAGCACATGCGAAGCCTGTTTTATGAAATGAGAAGAAACAATTATCCAATAACACCAGAAACATGGACAATCATGATATTGCTCTATGGCCGAACAGGACTAACAGAGATGGCCATGAATTGTTTCAACGAGATGAAAGCCGATGGTTATAGTCCAAGTAGGAGTACATACAAGTTTTTGATCATCGCCTTGTGTGGGAGGAAAGGAAGGAAAATCGACGATGCTCTCAAAATATATAATGAGATGATCAACTCAGGACATGTCCCCGACAAAGAATTGATTGAAACCTATCTTGGTTGTTTATGTGAAACGGGTAGAATCTCAGAGGCTAGGAAATGCATAGATTCACTTCAAAAAATCGGCTACACAGTTCCCCTTAGCTACTCTTTGTTTATAAGAGCTCTTTGTAGAGCTGGAAAAGTAGAAGACGCATTGAAATTAGTCGAAGAGGTTGGAGCAGAGAAATCTTGTGTAGAAAAGCTAACATCTGGAAGTATAATACATGGTTTATTACAAAAGGGTAAATTAGAAGAAGCGTTAGCTAAGGTGAATGCGATGAAACAAGAGGGGATAAAACCTACCATCCATGTTTACACATCATTAATAGTGCATTTCTTTAAAGAGAAACAGGTTGAAAAAGCTACCGAGATTTATCGGGAAATGCAAGAATCCGGTTATGAACCAAATGTTGTTACATATTCTGCACTTATACGCGGGTACATGAAAGTAGGGAGGTACAATGATGCATGGAATGTGTTCTACCGTATGAAATTTAAAGGACCATTTCCCGATTTTGAAACATATTCTATGTTCCTTTCTTGTCTATGCAATGTTGGAAAATCAGAAGAAGCAATGAGACTTATTTCAGATATGTTGGAGAGTGGGATTGTTCCTAGTACTATTAACTTTCGAACAGTTTTTTATGGGCTAAACAGAGAAGGGAAACAAGGTTTAGCACGTTCTGTGTTGCAACAAAAATCAGAAATGATCAGAAAGCGTAAGCTCATAGCTTGATTTATTTGCTTGGCTTTTTGAAGTTGTTGGATTTATGCCATTTAAAGTTTTTCTTGTGACATGAAGTGAGTCGAGGTTAAAAGTGCAAATGAACTTGAAAGATTTGTCTTATTGAATAGTCCGTTTATGATTTGTTATTATGTATATGTTATAGATCAAACAATTAGCTCACAAGATTTGAGTTGAGCTATGAAGAACATATATGAAAATTTTAAAATCTTGTTAAATATTAGAATATTTAGATCATTATGTAACAAGAACTTGAAGTTATGTAATAAATATCTTCAAGGATTAAAAAGTCATTGGAAATGTTTTGACTATTGAATTAAAAATAAATTTTATGAAATTGAAAATTTGAAGATACTTGATTGTTTTTCAAAATTTTATTTATAATTTAGTATAGATTAAGAATTCATGCTTTGGGTCCTGTTAATTCAGCTAGGTGGTAGCTGAGCGTCCATCTGATTGCTAGAGTCCGGGTTTGAATATGTGACATCCATTTATCCACTTAAGAGGAAAAATTCTGGTCATTAGACAATGACAAAAAAATTCATGCTTTTACTTCCATCAATTTTTGTAAAGAACCTCCATTAATGCTGAAAGAGTGCTAAATGGCATTGGCAGTAGTAGTTGTTATATTTCAAAATATATAATACTAACAGTAATTACAAACTTAGTAGTTATACTTTCTATCAATCATGAATCATCTTGTATTACTTATTTGATTATTAATCAAATGGTGTTAAAATAAAAACACAAATTGGACAACCACATGAATACATTGATATCCTTGCAACAATTCCCTCATTCCATTAAATACAAGTGCATCAAAATTCCTCTGGTGAGAAAAATACCTACCTACATTCATATAATCCTTTAGTTGCACTCATCGGATCTGATTGAGCACTCATTCTGCTCATGCTAGGGATGTGCCTCGTGATGCTTGACACCATTTAAACTCCGGCCACGTGCATAGAGAAGTAATAAGGTAAAATGGTTATTTACTGATATAGGCCACTTCGAATTCTTCATAGTTTCAAACTCAAATGATCTACCATACCCTCAAAGGAATAGGTGCATGTTGGAAGCCTACATTAACATATAATGAATAATAATATGAAAACAAAGGAATTAAAGGCAAAGTTATAAGCAGAGGCGGATTAAGATAAACTATTCAAAAAAAAAAAACTCAAAGGTAGTAATCTAGAGAAAGAATCAGTTGATGACAGAGATCAGAAATCCACATTTTATTTTGATGATATTACCTGTATCAAAGCTTCTTCACAACTTCCTCAATTACACGACTATAATAAGTCATTCTCCTAATTACATTCTTCGCTTTTTCAAAGTCCCGTCTTTTAAAAGCATCAGCAAAGGCATTAGACCAACTTTGCAGTTTCTCCTGCATCTGGATGAATCAAAGGATGATATGAAGAAACAACATCAAAGTAATCATAATCCAAAATCTATATTTGAATTGATTATGAAATCTATCTGTAGCATAGCCTTCCACCTTGCGGAAATTGGAATTTCCAGACATACCTGGGAGCGAATGTGATTCAAAGCTTCAGAGTTAGTTGCTTCTTCAACTTCTTCCCTGATTTCCATAATCTGCAGTAAATTTTGGCAACTGAATGGGATTAGATTTTCCGTGTAGAAGAGTGTAAAAAGAGATAAGGGATAGAAAACCATATGCATATTATACCATTAACCCTTACCAATTAAATTCCAGAGTCCTACTTTATATTTTGGAAAAAAAAAGTCATTTTGTTTAAGAGAAAGAGAAAGAAAAGCTGAGCTGTTGTAATTAACCATCACAACTGTACAAAGAATATATTTTTCATTATTTAGATAGTTTATATCTGAGTTTGACAATAGACTCGATTAATGAGACGTGATTCAAGTTTCAAAGAGAATAACTTTCCATTTGTTTCACTGTTATTTTGCTTAAGGAGGTTTAAATGAAATTTCACATTGAAGACGAAATAAGCTTTACTCAATTACCTCTGCTAGTAATTCTGCATCTGAAATTGTCTGCTCCTCATCAATTTCCACTCCTTCGAGCTTCATCTAACGAAATATGGTGCATCATTAGTTTGTATCAAGCAAGACGAAACAGTGAAGAGAGCATAACTTATTAAAGTGATGGAAAGAAGCCCGTTGACAACATATCTAATTTTTTTCTATGATCAAATAACAAACTTCTTCATTAGAGACATACTTTGACCATTGAACTCTTAAATATGTTCAAATTCTGTAGAGATTACCACTCTTCTAATAATGCATCATCAATTTGAATCTTGGCGTAGAAATATGCTTACCATATAAATCGCTCTTGACAAAGGCTTACTAAGTGTACGGTATGCATCAATCACTCTTGCAGATTGTTCAGCTGCAAAATCTTTTTCTTTCTAACAAATTGAAGCATATAAAACAAAATTGTTAGTATCTCCAAACCCACAATAAACTTCACTGCCATACCCACCCCAATTCTAAACAAAAAGTGTAAGAAATAAGATGAGTGGTATATGAAATAAAAAGGAAGGGGAAAGGATATCCCTTAAGACAAACCTGAGATTTAGAATGCACTAAATCAGGATGTAGTTTCTTTTGCCACTCCTTGTACTTCCCCTCCAAATTGATACCCTCTACATCATACTTCTTTTCCCTGTTTAAAATTTGAAGAAAAAATTTTCTTGAGTTTCTCAACTTATTTATTATACTGTTCAGATTCATACAAAAAAACATATCACTAGATTTCTTTTCCTCCGTTACAAAACCATAAAACATGTAAGAAATGTTACAGACACACAATTATGACATGCAAGAGAATACAATTTCATCTTGCAGCTTGATGAAAGACATTACAAAAACAATAAAAACCAAACCTTTTCCCATTAAGTAGGGTTGGCTACGGATCAACTTTTGTCATAATGTTCTATCTAGGATTATACTTCTACCAAAATCGTTAATCTCGATATCTTTCTTAATAACTTCTCTTCCAGTTTTTCTAGGTGTTCCTCTACCTCTAGCTGTTTGACTTCTCTCCATCTAATCTACTCTCCTTACTACAGAATCTATGGGCATTGCACAGACATATATAACAAGTTTTTTTGTCTCAACGATTCTCAGGTGAACGAAGCCCTAGTAATCTTCAATTTGGTCCGGAGGTAAGTAAGTTATAGCAAAAAAATCAAGTCAGAACTTGTTCTTGGGTTTTCCCTCGTCTTTAACTGCGGCTCATTAACCATTAGAGCTCAGTCACTTGCTTAGCATGTATAACAGTTCCAAAAATGAATAACAACCAAGTTTTATCCCCATTAAGTGAGATCGGCCACATGGAATAACTTTTGCCATAATGTGACCATGTTTCTATCCAAATCATTAATCTTAAGATATAATTTCTCTTAGTTTTTTAGGTCTACCTCTACCTCTAATTATTTGACTTTTCTCCATCTGATCTACTCTTCTTCCCACAAGATTTACAGGTATTCTCTACATGTCCAAATCACCTAAAAATTAAAAATAAACAACAACTTCCTATAACTCATCAAGTTTCACCTTCCTAGTAAAACATTGCATGCTACAAATCAACAAATTACAAACCCATTTTTGTCAGCCAATAAAGATCAAAACTTTATGAACAATTTCAACAACCAAGAACCACAAAACAAAATCCCAAAACTTACGTCCCAAAAATTTCGAAATAGTCAATGGAATGATCAACAGGCTGAATGCAGCGACATGATTGGCAGAACAGGAAAGGTGCTGATTGAGGAACATCGTGGCAATTCCAGCATGTGGTTTGGAATTTCTCTGCAGGTTTTGAACATAAATTTTTCCTGCAAAATCTGAGAGATCCAAGAGAAGAATAATAATAGCAGGTAGGGTAACCATGACAGAGATTATCAATATCATACGGTGGTGCAAAGGGTGGTGATGAAGGTACAATTTTAAGATGAGGAGATAAACTTTGGGGAATTGAAGTTAAAGTTCGTCTCAATTTGAAGAAAGTTGAAAGAGGCGTGGAGAAAATTTTGTTTGTCATTGTGAAAGCAGTAACAAAAGGTAAGGATTCCTGATTTTTGGGAGGGTGAAGAATGAGTTTAGGACAAATTCACATAACACGTGGCCTATTGGTTTGATCTCATAGTTAAACGGTGGCAGTTTGTGCGACGTGTTTGGTTGAGAGATTTTATCAAACAGTTGGTAGGTGTAAGAGGTTGGAGGTCGAGGTCGAGGTTCGGTGTTCAAGAATGGCTATGAGTTTTCGGTGAGGGACTGCAAACTACGCAAATATGGATGGTGATTTTTTTTTTCTTCAGGGATTGAAGCAAACATGAAAGCTATGGAACTCGCCGAAAGTGATTAATTGTGAATCTATTTGTAAGTCAGTAATAAGTAATAACGACGTCATGTCACTTTTTCATTTTTTTTTTCTTTCAATTTGATAAGTTGTCTTTTTTTTTTTAATTTTAAAAGTAAATATAAATATTGAATAAATTTTGATTTTTGAAATATATATATTTTCTCTTTCATCACATTTATAAAACAACACTATTTTTATTTTTAAAATATTGTTATTTTTAATATAATCCTTCCCATTCGTATACTACTTTTTGTTAGTATAGTCGATCTCATATGTAGATAAAATGAGAGAGTTGTGTTAGGTATTTAATAGTTAATGTAAAATTTAGTCAAATCTCTATAACATGAATCAATTATAAAATAATGTGAATGTTAGGTTGTTGTTTGTAAGCAATATGTTGTATAGCTCGAGTGTAATGTTAAATGAGAAAGGATAGCTAAATCGGTGTCTGGATACAGTGAAAGTTAAACAAAGGTTCCCATATTTTCGGGAATAGGTGTGGGTAAAAAAGTTAGCTCAAAGGAGTATAATTTGTTTTGGATCATGAAGTATATGCACACTTACTAAAAAAATCTTTGGAAATAGTGGAAATTACGATTACGAGAAATATTGATCTCATGTGCCTACAAGAAAACTAAATGAACAGGCGAAAAGACAAAAAAACCAAACAGTTTGAGATTTAAGTTGTGGTACATCTAAAATTTTAGATCAAGAAATGAGATGTGAATTATTATGGGCAATGAATGGAAGAAGAATATTATGGATGTAAAAAGAGTAAAAGATCAAATCACAATCTTAAAATTTATAGTGGAATAAGATATCTTTAATGTTATTAGTGCTTACGCACCTCAGGTTGGGCTAGCATAACACCTTAAGGTAAAATGTTGGGAGGGTTAAAAATATACTCCAACGATATAAGCTTTTTCTATGTGGGGATCTAAATGGACATGTCGGGAGCATAACAAGAGGTCTTGATGACGTGCATGGGGGTATGGTATCAAACGTGGAAGACAAATCCATCTTAGATTTTTTTTGGTTTTCGATCTTATTATAGCTAGTACCTAATTTAGAAAAAGAGATGAACATCTTATCACATATAAGACTAGGGTGACATGTTCTCAAATGGATTTCTTTCTTATTAGAAAGTCATATAGGAAAAGTTGATTGGATTGTAAAGTTATTTTGGGAGAAAGCTTGACCATCTAACATAGAGTATTTGTTATGTATTACTACGGAAAAGCCATACCACAACGGTTGGAAAAGGGATACCACAGCGTCTGACCAACCGTTGTGATGTAAGGGGTGATTTTATGTCTGGTGCTTTCCACCAGATCGCGAGACCGAGATAGTAAGGCAGGACACGCGCTACCTACCACAACGGTTACCTGTATCAATCGTTGTGGTATATACATTTAGAGATAAATAACATTTCATCACAGATAAAATAAATAACCGTTATTGAAAGTGTGGCGGAGGAAAGTAATTTGAGATTAAGTTATTAATTAACTTAACTCACAAAAGTAAGAGTCGTCAATGCTCTTTATTGTTTCCAAAAGAATGGGAAAAGAACGAATAAAACCCACATAAGTTTTTAAAATAAAACTAATAAAACAAAGAGATAAGGGTACGGAGGTTGGTTATGCAAAGGGAAGGTGTTAGCACCCAAAATGTCTATAGTACTCTATAGGAACCTCTTGAAATTCTGTGTTTGTCTTAAAACTGGGTTGTTGTTTGCAAAAGATTGGGGAGATGAGAAGAGAAATATTTATTTTAAGATTTTTGTTTGACAAGACTCCCTGATCCTCGTGCCCACGTACGAACAAAGTGCAATGGAGGATCAAAACCTCGTAGTTTATGGTAACAATAATAAAAATGCTTGTTTTAGTTTGTTTTAAATGAATATACATTTTGTCATATTCGAGTGAAAACTTAACTTACTACCCACAAATAATGAGGAAGGAGCATTTGTATCATCTTGAGATTGAGGACTTTTGCTTGGATTGAAATCAATAAGTCTATCACTGAACATATAAGTGGAAAATGTCATTACTGCTCTACATTATTGTGGAAGTATAGGAGTTGCATCACTACAAGAATACAACTAATGACTACCCTTAAGAAAAAGTTCTAAAGGAAAAGGTGCACAAAGGCACAAAAGGTTTAAATGAGTTTTGTGTTTTTTTAAGTCTTTTGAAATTGTTTTGATATGCTTAAGATGTCTTAGAATTTATTTAAAAAAAATTAAAAATCACTTGACGAAGTCAAGGTTTATTGAGAAAGTGGTTCAAGTTTGAAAACAATAAGGTTTCGGAAAAGGGAGAATATTTTGAAAATTTAAGAAGGGGAGGAGATGGAGAGACTATCCTAATGCATAAAGTAAATATCAAGAAATAAATGGTCTCATTGAAAGGTAGCTCAAGAGGAAGCCTTTGTGTGTGCATCGTGAACTAACCAGGATCTAGCCAGTACTTGACAAGAGTCAAAACCAACAATGCATTCCCTTTGGATTGAGCCACAAGCAACAAGTGAGCACATAATAAAACAAACATCAATTGAAAGAAGAACTCAAGCTATAAAGTTAAAGTTATGTATCAGAGTCAAGTCTTCAAAGGTCAACCAAAAGTCTCAAGTATCAGATGAATCCAATATCACAGGGAAAAGTAACCAAAGTTCATAGGTCCAAAAGTCCAACTTCAAGTAAAGCTAAGGATAGTGATCATTAGTCCAAAGATTAGAGAACCAGGTTTTTTAGGATTTTTCCTTTATTAATGTCCTTAAAAGAAAAAAGAAATGCCCAAGAGGCAAAAGGAAAAAGAAGCATAAACATAAACAATGTGAAATGTAATGCTAAAAAATAAAGGCATAAAAATAAATAGCAAGAAATTAAATGACATAAAGTAAAGTTAGCACAATAATGATGTTAGTATTAATGTTAGAGTTAATGAATCGATTTAGGACAAATTTAGTGTTATGTTAAGCAATCGTAGCACAATCTATTAGGAAGATCATACTATGTGAGATCGATCAATAATAATTTATGTACCATACATGTTAGAGATATGGTAGAAATCATACTCCTAAAACATGTAGCACAAGTAAAAACCAAAGAGGGATCAAGCACTAAGGCAAGGAGATTGGTCCATTACATCAATCATTCTTCATGATCACCTATGAAAAACTTATGCATCAATTCAAAGTACCTCAAATGATCCATGATCAATAGAAAGGTAGATTTGAAATGATGAAAGTTCATCAAGCATCGATCCAAACTTCATGAACAAGGTGGACTTTTAATCATCCAATTTATCAAGAGAAAAGAAAAATAAGGAGAAGGAGATGAAGAGAGAAATTAAATTGAATCATGACTTGAGATTCATCTATCATCAATTTCAATCACCTCTCTTGGTGGATTAAGGTACTAAATCTATCATCAATCAAAAGCACCAAAAATGATTCAACTAATAATTTAATGGTAAATTCGAATTGATGAAAATTCAATCAACCTCATCAACACCCAAATTCCATTGAGATTGAGGAAGATTTTGATCAATCAAGCCCTAATCCAAGTCAACAGAAGTCAAATAATATTTAAAATGCATAAAAAATAAAATAAAGCAATAAATAATTTTAAATGGAAAATAAAAGAGAAAAACTAAATGAAGCATCTAAACATCAAACAAAGGCTCAATAAAATCAAGATAAGTCAGAAACAAGTCAAAGATCATAAGATAATTTTTGAAGAATTTTAAAATGCATAAAAGTATTTTTAAATCAATTAAAATGTATGAAAAATAGAAAATTAATGAAAAATAGAAAATTATAAAATAAAATTGTGAAAAAAATACACAAGGTGTAAAATAGTAAATTAGATTTTTCTGAATTTTTTGGATGAAAATATGATTTAAAATTAATTTTTAAAAGAAAAATCAAATAAAAGAATAATAAATAAAATAGGAAAAAGTATCAGCCATTAAATTTGGTCAACTATAATGAAGTAAGCGCATCAGAGGGTTCAGATTATGAGGCATATGGTAGACCTTAAGTGAAATAACATGCTAGATCAAATTTGAAATAAAACAAACTCAGGCCGCCACTGTGTACCTTCGATCATCTTCTCTGGTGAACTGCTCATCGGAGTTTGGCATTTGGTTAGCTCAAGGCACGAAACCACCACCATTACAACTGTATCATTAGTGTTAATTCAACTATATGTTTCATTTTTATTTATTGAAAACGAGCATGGAGAATTTTAGAGAAAACTCAGTAAAAAATAAAACACGACAAGTAAAATTAAATGCCATATACAATCAAACAAATTAAGATAAGTTAGAGGAAAGCATCAGAGAGTATCAGGGTACAGTGTGGTAACTTGTTTGAGTGAAAACAAAGCCTATAACTACCTTGTCAAAATACAATCAGAAGAGGCTGCAAGGTAGATTTTGTTAGCACGATTCAGAGGCTCCCAAGGCTTGAAAATTGTTGCAATAACTTCAGAAGATGTCGAAGGTGCTAACGGAACCAAGAAATGAAGTCGAAATTGCTTAGAATTTGAAAACAAATTCTCAAAATTTCAGTGAAAAGTGTGAGCTCGGGCAGAGGTTATAGAGGCTTTCTAATCTTGAGAATGAGTGCAGTAGCTTGCTCTATTTATAGTTGAGGTAAATGAATGAAATACGTGT